GTTTGTCTCCAGGAGTATTATCCATGATGCAGCACACTAATGCACTACCTTGCTCTGAACAGGAGAAAGCACTTTGGATGTAGTCCAGGTTTAACCCTGTCTTAGGGCTTGCTTTTACTTTTAAACAAAATAGCAGCAAATGGAAGTAAAGCACCATCCTGACTCTTCTCGGAGTGTGGCCAATCCTACATGTGAGGAGCAGCTTTGAGACAGAGGTGATGCTCATTCCCACCTGGTTCATGACTCCTCTGCCTCTCTTTGCCCTTTCAGTCCCTACAACCCAGCTCTGCTCTCCATCCTTGAGTGAAATTCCCCCAAGCACAGGTAACCTGAAGGTGCTCTGCAAGGAGCTGCTCCTGGTCAAAGGGACTGTTGGACATCTGACATCAGAATGATCCCTGGAAAGACCCCTGTCATCCAGGCAGAATCGCAAATTCTGGCAGTTTGGAGGTTTTAAAAATTAAAGCATTCCCCCAAACAGCTGTATTTCTTATGCAAATCCCCCACCAAATGGTACCTTGTAAGTGTTAGAGGAATTGTTTGTTCTCTGTTAAAAAATGATCATCTAAAAACCCATTAATTTTGGGGGGAGAAAATGTTTTAAGAGGACAAAGCAGGCTTACAGACCACATTTCTCCCATGCCCTGTGAACTGTTGTGCTATTGTGATTTTACAGTGCTATTTCTCTGCTTCTGCTGGGTTTTTCTCTTTAATGTAATGTGGATAACCCAGAACAAAAACTGACACTTAATTCTGAGTAAACAGTGGCAGGGACTGAATAGAAACTTGATGTCAAATATACAGCCACCCTGGGAAAGTCAAAATCCAATGCTTTCTCTTCTCTTCCAGTTGTGTCCTCCGTAAGTGTATTATCCATAAAATTAGCCATTTAAAAAGGCATCAAAACATTATTTTTCATATTCATAGCGTCACTTTAAAAAAAATGGTTAAAAATCGATTTGCTGGCCTCTTGGGGAAATGCTGTAATGTTTTTGGCTGTCTCCTACTTTCTGCTGCCAGCTAAAAGTACCATCTGGCTTGTTTAGGGCCCTTTTCCATATCAGGTGCTTCCAAAATTCTCCCCAACCAGAGGATTGTTTCGTTGGGTTGCTCTGCCTGCTGAGGCATGTGTCCTGGGCTGGGAATCCTACTGCTTCTGTTCCCTGCCATCTTGCTGACAGTGGTGTGTGTATGTTTGGGCACGGATCTTGCTGCCTCTCTCCCGAGGACATTTGCATCATTGTCAGCTGCACATATTAAATTGATATGCAGGGCTCAGAAACACGTATCCCATCTTTTGTCCCTTTGTTTGTGCAATTGTTGTGGTTTTAATTCTTCTTTGACACCTGGAATATCACAAAGCTGCTGATAATCTGTTGGCTACTAAGGGAGATGACATTGATAGGAGGATAATGTGTGTCAGACTTATATCTCGATAATTGCCGACACACCCCGAACCCTCGCAGCTCAGGCAATGAATATCCTAAATCCATCATTAATTTGGAGAGTCGCATGTGGCAGTTGGCTGTGGTGTCATCCTCTCCCTGCAAGAGTCACTTGCAGGGGATTTGGAGGCAGTTTTGGGTGGATCCTGCAGCGC